AAATTATTTGTGGCTGGTATAGCAAATTTCAGTTAATATACCGCCATCTAATGGACTGTTGCAAAATGTATGTAGTTGTGGGCCAATATCTCTGATGTTCTACTGGAGATACTCTAACTGGTAGTCATGGCCCTAATCACCACAGCTACTATTATTGCCTTTAATTCTTAGATTAAAAAAAAAAAAAACTTTTTGCTTCAGTCTATGGCATTCTCTGTTCATGGCTTGACAAAAACAACTGTATCAAATGGCTGCATCAGAGCTGATTTTGTTCATTTTTCTTTTTATAAACATACATGATAGGTACTAGGCATATTATACATAGCCGTAAAGTACTTGATTTATACCAGATTTATATGAATAAATACAGCAAAGCTGGCCAACAGATTGTCCATTTTGCAATATTTTCTGCACTGAGCACACTAGGTGGTGTAGTTCTCCCCTTTATTTGAGCTACCCAGCTTCTGAGTCAAGATTTAAAGGAATATGCAAAAAGGGCAAGGTCACTACTATTTTTACAATGAGGATCACACTAGGATATGTTCAAAATCAAAACCACAATAACTGGATAACCATACATGAATATCAGTCTGTCATTTTTTTAACATTGTCAGCATAATGGCAGTAAAATTGTGATCTTAATACCACATTATGCCAAAGACATTTGATTTGCAAGGGGAGGCTTTACAAATAAAAAACCTCCCTTGATTATCCACTACTCCTTTGTTTATTTAAATGTGTTACTTTACATCAGCTAGGAGAGGCTCCAGCTTCCCCAGGACCTCGCTGCGAAAAAGCGGTATAGAAAATGGATGGATGGACAATATTTTACATGTAGTAAACAATAATTCAGAAAGAGCCCTTCTCCTCCTGGTCTTACAAATTCCCACATCTTTCTCTTCTCACCAACAAGCAGGGTTTTTAGGGGGGATGTGGGGGACGTCTCATCTGTGGGGTGGGGTTAAGCAGATCAGGTCTTCCTGCACCCCAGTTTCATGGGTGATGCTTTGGTAGGAGGGTATGAGGAGTGGTTGATCTGCAGACTTAGGGGCTGTGGTGGTTGCATCATTTGAGGTGCTTCTTGCCCACTGTGCAACATGTGCTGCCATTGGGAAATGGTCTGTTTATTTTTTTGTATACATCTTTTTTTTTTTACAAATATATATTTTCTGTATTTATTATTTTCTTCTCTTATTTCATTTACAGTTTTTTTGTATTATTTTCTTTCTCCACTTGCCAAACTGATTGAACGAGCAAGCAAGTGAATGAGTGAGCGAACAAGCTTGCATGGGTGACTGTGAAAGTCTGAGTCTGGGTCTGAGACTTTATGACCTCTGGCCTGCTCATGCTGTTCCTGCCTGGAGGGATCAGGGCTTGGCCCCCTCTTTGCTTGTTGTAGTTGCTTGCACAGCACTTACCTGTGGCCAGATTGGACTCTGGGGTACCACATTGGGGGCGCATATTGGCCCGGCTGGGGTTGCAAGTTCCTCTCAGATGTTGGATGGGCCTTCTACTTGGGGCTGGGGGTGTTCGGGCATTTGGGGCCCTGGGTCCCGCACCTAATCTATGCTTTGTGGACCTAGATGGACTGGTAGGTTGAATGAGTGAGCGAGAGCATGCATGTGGTGGTGAAAGGTTTCCAGCAGTATCGGACTCAGGATGGTCAGTCATCTGGCTCAAATGGTGTAAGGTATTAAATATAGTACTGACGATGTTTCATACATAAAACATGTTTTTTCGGTTTTACTCACCTAATTAAAGATAACAAACATTAACCTAAATCTTTGTTATGTTTGACCAGATTGAGGAATAACTCATTTTAATTTTATATAATTTATCTCAGGAGACCCAAAGAGGTAATTTGGGAGAAAAGCTTCTTGTTCCTGAAGAAATAGCCTCCACAAACTTGAGCCATGATATAGTACTGTGGTCTAGGAGTAGAATGAGAGTCTATTTCATAGAGCTGACAGTTCCTTGGGAGAACTTGCAACACGTAACATATGAAAGAAAAGGCTTGGGTATGTAGGTATGTAGAGTTATAGGCAGAGGCAGAGCTGTGAGGATGGAAATTTAGAATTTGTCCAATGGAAGTAAGATGTAGAAGATTTGTTGCAAAGTCTGCTGTCTCACTGTTGAGATAGTTTTGTGAAAGTGGACAGAGTATGAGGAAAATAGTGAACTTGTCAGATGTGGTAGTACGGTCCAGTCAATGAAATATTAGCTGAGTTTGGACTTTTCTTTTTTAGACAGAGATGGCATGTAAAACTTTGGAGTATTGCCATCTGTGGCCTCCAGAAGAAGATGTCCCACTTAAGATATTGCAAGGCACAATGATCTAGCCATTAATGTGCAATAGACATTTTTTGTCAAATGCATACAACGCATGAACTACTGACAGTCATTCATTTTATTATTGTTACATAATACACTTTACAGCATATTGCAACAAGACGTAGCTTCATCTATAAGTGCACATCTAATGAGAAAGTAAACCTAGAGAGTTTGGACATTGAGAGATTTACCAAATTCTAAAGCTTATGTGACATTTCTAATTACATTTTATTCTTTTTTTAATATGCAAGAAACATGTTAAAAACATCTGCCTACAGTTAACATCTCAAATTAATTACAGAAGCTCAGTATTGTGAATATAATGTGCATTTATTCTATTCTTTATTTACGCAAGGCCACAAAGTCTCTCGCTTATCTCCCACAGCTTCTTGGCTGCAGCATCATCCTTAGCCTTGGCAAAGACCTCTCTTACCGTGCAATTGGAGAAGTAACGGCCACTAAGAGGTTCCATTCCTTCCTGAAGGGCACAGTGCAGACTGGTCTGGCATCCTTGGATAGTGTTCTTAAAGAAGAAAGTAGTTATGGGCTTCAAAAGCACTTGAACAACAGGGCTTGCATTCCTGCCAAGCTCTGAGGTGATTGCTCCTGGAAAAACAAAAAGTAGATTTTGTTGATTGATCTGGACACATTCTTTCTACTTGTGACCTGTAACATAACACACCTGATTTTTTATTGTGAGGCAAAGATATTGGTTCTGTTTTTTCCTTAGAATGAAAATCTCCCTCATTATAAAGTTTTTCCTCATTTTGTTACTATGTCGACCTGTTGGTGTATGTAGAGCTAACACTTTGTAGCTAAAACACAAAAATAATTTTCAGTTACCAACAGTTAATTTCTAAGGATTTCTTTCCTCTGGCTATGTTTTTATGTTGGAACCACAGTTTGGCTAACCCACCTCCGCTTCACACCAAAGACTCAACTATTTGCATGTTCATGTATTAACTAACAGGTATGAAACATTTAAACTAGTTCCTACTTTATTAACCCAGCATACTCCACAGTGTGCCTTTCTTTATTGGTTACATCTCATAACAACTGACCTGGGTGAAGGGAGTAACAGGTGACTTGGGTTCCTTGCAGTCTCTTGGCCAGTTCATGGGTGAAAAGGACATTGCACAGCTTGCTATCACAGTAAACTTTGGGGACCTCAAGAAATGATGATCCAACTCCCAGAGCTTTGTGAGTGTTCAGGCAGTCAAAGTCAATTTTTCCAAAATTGTGTCCCACGGATGATACATTTACTATCCTGCTTGGTCCACTCTCTTTTAGTCGCTCCAGCAAAAGGTTTGTTAACAGGAAGTGACCAAGGTGGTTAACACCAAACATCATCCCAATTCCATCCTCTGTTTGACCCTGGAGGTAAACACCTGGAAAAATGATGAAACAATCATTTTTTTTGTTAGGTTGACATAACTATTAGTTCAACTTAAAATGTCTTATCTCTGGAAGAGGTTATAAACTTTATTCAAATTCACGAAAATTCTAAAATCTTTTGACTCTTCAATATATGCATGTTTTACCACACATTGTATGTATAAATCTGATTTGCTTGATAGGTTCTGAATTTTTTGGGGTTGTCTATGCACTTGAAGGCCTCACGGGTATACACTGAAATCTATTCACATACTACTATTTAAGCTTGTCTGTTTCATGTATCCAGTACCAGGTAATTCACAGCATTCAGTTTGAGCCTGTGTTCAAGAATATTCCTAAGTACTTTTATAAACAGTTGTGGATAAATTCTTTCCTGTGTCCTGTGTTTTCAAACTGTCATTTTCTTCTTGGAGAGTGTCCTCCAGTGGCCTGCACAGCAGAGAGAACTTTTGGTATTCCTTTTTTGGGAGAATTTATAAGTTCAACACATTAATTAATTTAAATTAAATACAGTAGCCTCCCTAAAAAATGCCCCATTGTTTTACAATCTTTTTGACATTCCTTATAATTTGATCATTTCAGAATTTTCTATGATTTTCAAATTAGAGCATATATCTGTTGAAAAGCTTAATGAGCAGGAAGAATACAAAAATTTACAATGATGGGTTCAGACACACTATAAAGTTTGATTGAGTAATTCCAGATTCCCTTCTTATTCTTCTGAGATTTTTGAGTTAGAACAAGTTTACAATTGGAGCGGCTGACTGAGTTTTCAAAACACAAATTATGCCCAAAAATAAAAAAATATTCATCACAGTTATTGAAGAGAAAAATATAGGGAATGTGAAACAGGAGTGAGATAAACACTGTGGAGAAGGAGGTGTAAACCAAGTCTTTGCTCAATACTGAAGGAAAATGTCAGATAAGATAAAAATACTGCTATTGAGCACACAGCAAGAAGTAAGTATTTTGTCATTTTCCTAAGACATGGCTGTAGGAACTAAAGCCCCTCTCTAGATGGACAGATAGATATGATGACATGATAGGGTAGAAAGTGAGCTTGGAAACAGCAGCAAAAGAAAAGACAGATGTATTCCATTGTTAAATATGTGCCTATTATGTGCCAAGAGAGTTCACCTTTGTTACTCGTTCTCACCCTGTGCTGCTTCCAACCTCGCTGAACGTGACAAACAAGGCTTTCATGGAGGAGGAGGAGCATACTGTGAGTAACGTGAGTAACTAACGTATGAACTGTGCGCAATGATTAAGAAAAGAAGACAAGATGTAACAAGAAAAGAAACAAAAAAAAAGTTCAGACAAAAACTTTATGGTTGGGAGGAAGTTAAATCGATCACAAGGACAAGGACACAAAGCCAACCTTTAGCTCTTAATATAAGATGTTTTCCTGTTTAAAACCAAGCCTAGGAGTTGCTCAACATTTCAGGAAATACAGGTCTAACAAATTTCAAGCAAGAATTAGTGTGTCATATAGTACGTAATACATGAGCCTGAACAAATTCAGGGGAAAATACCTTTATAAATAAAGTAAAAACAATTTTTTTCTTTTTATGTTTAGCATTTTAAACTTTTATGGATATGTACTTTAAAAGATCTGAGGGATATACACAAATGAATAAAATCATTAATTATAATAGGACAGGCAAAATCAAAATCGTCCTGCATCAAAAATTGTATTTGGGCTCGGATTCAAGTGAGTAGTCTAACCTGCATTGTTGATGAGGATGTCCAGTCTGGATTCTGACTTCAAAAAGGCTGTAGCAAACCTGCGAACAGATGTAAGACTCCCAAGATCCAGTGGCATGAACACCACCTGATTACTGCCACTCTCCTGCAACAGATAAACATATTGCTCTCTCTGTTTTGGGGGATAATACATGGCTCTGCAATACTAAGTGTGTCCAAATTAATTTTGGTGTGAAATAAAAAAATAATGTCACCCTTTTGATCTCCCCAAGAGCAGCTTTTCGACCCATTGCATGCATACATCTAATTTGCTGAGCTAACTGTGACAAATGTGTAATTTTCTACAAACTATCAAAATAACTATCAGATAGTTATATTAATTATAAAAAATACACTATAAAAATGATAATTTCAAGAAGAGAATAAAAAAACTATCAGCAGTGCATACATTGTGAAGAGTTAGTTTAATTGGCAAACTATCTTACAATTTTTACTTATCTATTACTCCAGAATATGATGAACCACATCGTTAGACAATTCTGTTAGGTAATTTCCAAATTTGACAGGTTTCTGATTTCTGTCACCTTTGTAAAAATCCAACTTTAACTTATCTTCATTGCCTCATTGTTAAATCAGAACATAGTTTGAAACATGCTGAACAATTACTGACCAAGTTTCATCATATCTCAAGGATCTCATTGTAAGGTATTCCCCAAAAGAATACTTTACTCTCATTCTTTGTGGAAGCAAACAACATCTTAACTTAAGCCTAAAACTTTCAATATTCGATGCGTATCTCTTTTGGGAGAATTTTCTGGTGTGTTTACATTCCTTTTGGTGTGAAACAAAAAGATAACTTGTTAACACTTACCCTTTTGATCTCCTCAAGAGCAGCTTCTCCTCGTTGCTTAGAACGACATGCAAGGATCACTCTTGCTCCTCTTTTTGCCAGGTCTACAGCTGTAGTCTTCCCTATACCTGTGTTGCTGCCTAAAAACAATTGTAGTTTTACACACAAATTCTGTATTTGGATTACTAGGAGAAACAGAATAGGCTACACAGCATTGTGACCAAACCAGAAACCTTACTCACCAGTTACAATCACAGTTTTCCCATGCAATTTTACTTTGCTGTTGCATGTCTTTCCTTTTACAACAATATGATGGTAAATGTAAGCAACTCCTATCAAAACACCTGCAACCAAGAGTACGGTGAACATTGTTCCTTCCTTTGAGGCTCATAGAATACTAGTTCCACTTTAGCAGTTGGAGCTATTTCTGCTTTGGACTCACACATTCCAACACACCCTTTTCCTGTTTGGGCGTGTCTGGGCAGAAAAACTGGACTTCTGAGTTACTTAAACTACCCAGGACAAGCCACATAAGTCATTTTGACTGATATCAGTGATATGAGCAGTTGGAAACGGCAGGTATGCTTTTTGGAAAAAGACATTTAATATTTGTTAAATCTGTAAGCAAATACGAATTGAATAAACAAAGTGCACATTTTGAGAAACATTTCATGGACTTTGCTTTAATTTCTGAACTTACTGAGTGTTATTATTTATGTGTTACAATTAATAACAAACTGAGATGGGGATACTCCACATCCTTTTAAGTCTTGACCAGTGATCCAACAGGGAAGTAAAACCAATGTGTCTGGAACCTATCCCAGATCCAGGCACACTACACTTTTAGACAGATCACTGGAGAATTTCCAGGGACAAACAAGACCAACAACCCTAAGCCATAAAGTCAATCGCCCTAGCCATGCATGTACTTGTATGCATGTTTTTAGATGTGGTAAAATTACTGATCTTCTGGTTATAATAAAGCTATTTTCATACAATTCCTGTAGTGCGTTATAAAAGGCAAAACATACTGGCATACCAAAAAGAAATATAGCTTTTAATTTTTAAATGTACAGACTCTGTTTAGTAAATGTACACAAACAATATGCATGCAGTTATTCATATAAACCATGCTCACTGTACTTTAAGTTTTGGGGGCCCATTTAGTCACCAATTAGCCTAAAATGTATGTTTTGGGGCAGTTGGAGCAAACCAGATTACGCAAAGAAAAGCTATGCATGCATAAAGTAAACATGTAAACTCCCCACAAAGCGCCCTAGCCGGAATTTAACCCTCTTACTGTCAGACGATGGTAATTACCACCACATCACAGAACCGGTTTGACTCAGCTACATTTTAATTTCTCAAAACCAGATTAATCTGGCGTCAGAAACGACATCTTTTAAAAAATATATGTTTAAATTAATAAGTATCTAGTTCTACAATCATTTTACCAGCTGTGTGATGTTACAACTAAACTGGTTGTGACATTTTGCACTCAAATGTAACTTAAGCTGCAGAGGCTGAAATTAAGAGAACACAAACTGAATTTCTTAGTAAAAAAATCTTTCTGTATTTACAGGTTTAACAGACAAGCAGGTAAAGACAAAGATTGCCAATATACAGAGCAGCACATGATGTTAAAATGAGTGCTAAAACCATAATGGTATATACAGATGGACTACAGTGGAAAGTACAGACTAAGAACAAGTTTTTAGTCACAAAACTTCTGGTACTCTACACAGTATCACAAATTTCATGGACTGTACAGTTAAAAACCCCCCCAAAAAAAGGTAAATCTACATGAAATCCAATGCTTCTCCAATTGAGAGGAACTGAATTGTATATATTTACAATATATATATATATATATAGTGTGTAAGCATGTATGTTTTCATACATATACAGCTACCAGCGGTGCAAAAGCAGCAAAAGAAATTAGAATGTATGGAATTCAATTTTACAAAATAAAAAGCATTGTGCTAAATGGACTAACATATTAAGGTTACACCATACAAAACTAACATACTGGCGAAAAGAAATATTGAGCGCAGGTGAATAATGCTTGCTCAAAGTCCTAATGGTCTGAAGTAAACTCAATGTTACTGTCAGTCATTCACAAACAAGAGATTGTCAATAATACTTCAAGTTCATGCAAAGGTATAAATCATTTTTAAAAGAAGAGGAAAAAAATCCCTGTTGACCAACCAGCTGTGCAGTTTTCCCTTCATTGTGACTTGGAAGGTGCAAAACAAAAGGAGGGAGAGTATGCTTCCTGTGCCGGTTATGGAACGGAGTTGGAACGCAATACGGGCACTTGGTGGGAAGGGACAGTGTCAATGTCAGCCTCATCCTGGCTGGAAGGGCTGCTCATTTGGGCAGTGTTGGGTGGTGGTGTTGAGGTGGTGATTGGGATGGTGCTTGTGCAACTGGCAGCGGGCGTAATTGTCTCCTCCTGTTTAGGATGTTTACTGGCAAACTCAGTGATACTAAAGACAAACTGGAGACAGCCAAGTTTGATGTAGCTGCCGTGGTGGAGAAGGGCTGTGCCCTCCCAGCCTGCCCCACTACCTCCAATCAGGCTGGAGCTGCTTGCTTTACAGCTGCAAGATGGCTCCACACTACCCTGAGGCTGGCTGCTCATCACGCCGCCCAGCGGCAACAAACCCACAACAGGGTTGGGACCTTGATCTTGTTCACGTTTCTTACTGCGACCTGTGCACAAAGACAATAAATCCACACTACAGACTATTTATCATTTTCAGTTTTAATGAACATGGATTTTGATACCATGTCTTGTAAAATCAGAGACCTATCTTTGACTTGTAAAAAGAATCCTTAAAATAAAGCCTGCTCCCAGGCAGGTCATTCCAAGTGAGGGTATATTTTATGCAATCTGTTTAAAACTTTTTACACAGTCCTGCTACAATAGATATTGAAATAATTACATCCTTGCTTCCTTGGCAAAGCCATCTGATGTTGACAAGTCTTCTACAAAAGGTGTTTCAATGCTAAATTAAATGCTATATGCAAAAGGTAATCAAATATTAGTGACTGATGCTGTTATGGACTAAATGTTCATTTTATCTCTTTAAGAATAAGTTACGTTATCCTGTATATTTTATGTTCATATTAAGGTTTTTCCCCATTAAGATTGTATCCATATTCTTCTACCATCTCAGAAGTTAGCCAGCCTGCTTCAGATTGCTTTAATGAAAAAACAAAATGAGCGTCATTTACAGAGAGAGAAACCTTTAACATTTGATAATGAGAACTGAATAGTGATGTGTCTCGTTGATTCATTAGTTTAAAAAAAATAAATAAATAAATAAATAAGGTGTCAGTAAGCAACCTTTGTTAACTAAAACAACACCTGTAACAATGGTCAAATTGTAAAGCCGATGTCTGAAATGATTTAATATTGTGAAATTAATTAGTTATTAGTTCTCTAATTTAATTTCAGAACCTTCTTATCTTAATTCTCCTGCATCCTGATGAAAGTGACCTGGAAAGTGATTTTATATACTCACGAATAATTCCTTGGACTTTAGCCACCAGGCCACTAGGTGCAGAGGGTGAGGCTTTCTCAGAGAAGTCACATGAGTATAGCACATTGTCCACTGTGGTGCCATGCTCGCTGTAGTTGAGCAGCTCATAATGCTTGGTATTCTAGAGAAACAGAGAAAAAACAACAACAAAAAACTTTAAAACGAGTCAACAAGTACTCTGCACAGTTATCTTCATGTACATAAGCTCAATATAACAATTTATAAGCACATACCTCATCATAAAAAATACAGGCATGTTTCCCCGATATAAAATTGCAGCGACCGTAGTTGGTAAGGCACACATCCATGTCAGCACCTTTGTACAAAGAAATGAATGGGATAGTCAGTTTTAGTTATCAAAATTAATTTGGTTAACAACAATCAGCATTAATGTCGTGCATCACCTGCAACACTACTTCAGCAATAGTCTTATTCTACAACTGCACAGAGGAAAAAGGAATATGCCTTTTTTTCCCCAGCACACTTTTTTCCCTTTTAAATTACATTTATTCATGTAGATGCCTTTAATTTCTTTGTTCAAGTACAGTATTTCTATGCAGTGGTCTATGCAAAGTCAAATATATCACTTCAAAAATTCAAGTGTCAACTTGTGGCCTAAGCATAAGCAGAGAAAAAAACAAAACAAAGTAACTATAATAAATGTAATATACAGTGGGGATGTCAGTAAAGAAAACGAACGCCTTAAAGGAGCCATATTATACCCTATTGAACAAGTTAAACTAGTTCCCTGGTGTCCTAATGTAATGTCTGTGACAAGCTTGGGTCAAAATACCATAAGGATGAAGCACAATAGCAGTTCAATCACCCTGCCAAAACAGCCTCGTTCAGAGCGCTCGGTTTTGAGTGCCTGTCTCTTTAAATGCAAATGAGACACAGGCAATCCACCCACTTCTTCCAGAAGGTGTGCCAGTGTCAGCCCGCTAATGCTACCATGCTCACGCTACCACAACGTCTGCCACAGATGGGCGGAATAAGCTGAGGTGGGTGGCAACATGCAGGTGAAAGGCTGGAATATTATAATGAGCTAGAGCTAATGACGTCATAAACGACCGATTCCTGAAACCTCCTGATTTATCTCCTGTATTGAGACTGAGGCAGCCCACAAAAATATGACTGAGTCTTTTTTTGCTGTGTGGCACAGTCCCAAATGTACATGATCAAATTATTAAAAGCTTGGTTTTGCATAATATGCCCCCTTTAACAAAATTTGGGACAGTTTTTTTAAAAACGTCAATGCTGTGTTACAACAACAACATAAAAGTGACAAATGAATGACATGGCAGTTTGAGAGAAGGAAGACTGCAGTCCTCCACACACTTGGTAAATGTAACCCTTTTATCCCACCCTGACAGGCCAAACTCACCATTTAATACAAAGGGGAAAAAAGATCCTCACCTCAAAATGCATTATATTTCCTAATTCAATGCAGTGTTGAAAAAGGCTCATTTTAAAATCAAACAACATGATCGGGTTTAAAGAATGTCATTGTGATGCAGTCAGCAGGTCTTACCAGATCCTATGTATAAAGTCCTGAAGCACATACTAACGGCTCCTCCTTTTCCTGTCAGAGGGTATAAGACAGCTCTGGCCTGAACCTTCTTTGGACCTGTAGAAAAGGTACAGCTTTTAGAAAATTTTCTGAGAACTTTATAGGTACTCCATTCTTAATAGGGACAGATGAAAAAATGGGTGAAGAGATGAACATTTGAAAGGGTAAATTAGTGTCTTACTGTCAGCACATGGTGATTGGACTTTGGGGGCAGCACCTATGCCAGGGAGGGGTGGAGTACTGGGTACTTTAGGGGGAAATAGTTGTTGAATCCTTTGATAAGCCAGCAACTTTATCATCTCCGCATCAAGCTTGTCCAATTCAATTCCTGCAAATCATTTGCACACAAAACCATAAGGGCATAATTATAGTACTGTTCAATATGATAGTGCTTTAATATTGTCACATATCAGAATAAAGTGAGCATAGTTACCCCCATCTTCCCTTCCATCTCTCATGCAGATTGACAGGTTTTCCAAAGTACAGCGAGTGCTGGGTATCACTGTGTCCACCAATCCAGGACCAGTCTTTCTATCTGTATATAACACGCACATAACATGGCCTAAATTCTCAATAATTAGCTTATTTTGAATTTAAGAGTTTTATGCAATACAAAAATAAAATTCATACCCCTATGTAAAGCTCAATAATAACAATATCCTGCTCCATGAGCCAATTTGAATTTTGTTCTTTTTTTTCCTTTGAGACATCATGCCAGTCACACACAGCATGTCTTCAATGTGAAAGCGTGTATAGGGTGACAATAACTTTCCATCCAGTTGTATTCTTACTGCATACATCTATATAAATCATGAGTTTGTGCATGTCTTTTTTTTTTTGGGGGGGGGGGGGGGGATTCTCATTGAGGGAAGAATAAATCCTAAATCCTTGCTCCAACCCTGAATCATTACTGTTCTTCCATGTAATTTCTTTGGTAAGATAACACTGACGTGAGACTACATTGTCCATCTGTTGTTCAGGAGGTTTATTAGAGTCGATAATTATACTCCCACACTCCTGCATCTCTCCCTACTTGGATGCAGAGACGGATGGTTTCAGCATAAAATAAACTTGTCTAAACTCTTTTCAAATTGCTGTATGTTAACAATTGTTTACATTTTCCAATCTAAATCATATTAAGACTTAAAAGACAACCACGAGATCCAATGTGCAAATGTAAGGTAAGACTTACTGGCATAAAAGAAAGTGGGAATACTAACCTGAAATTGGTGAACCCAGCTTTGTTGAGTCATCCTGGCTGCCCCCAAGTGGTGTATCTATAGGAAAGCTGCTGGTGACTGTGTAGGGGTGGGGTTCATTGCTGCTCATCAACTCTTCTTGGAGATCTGTTTGGCTCCTGTGGTTCACCTGGCTGCTGTGCGGCCGTATCGTGGGGGCAGGGGGCCGGTTTTTCTGAGCACAGATCTCTCTGGGGTTCTCAGACTCCTTTTTAACAACTTCTGTTCCTATGTGGTTCATTAGCCCTGAGGCAGGAGCAGTGTTTGGTGGTGTCGTACTAGCCTTAAATCTGTGCTGAAGCTCAGCCTGCCTGCAAGAGTCTGATGCACTGATAGAATCTACAGGTCCATTGGGTTTTGATGGCTGAAGCTCTGGCAGGGGTCCATTTGACTTCCTACAGTTCTGACATGGTACAGTGCTACACTTACAAGCAGCCAACTCTGCTGGTAATTCCCAGGAAATAGAGGCCTCTTGAGATTTTTCTGGTATACTGCAGCGGTTAGAAACAGAGTCAAGGGGAGAAGTCCTTCCTATAGAGAGCGTAGTTTTCATTTCCTCAGGTGTAACATATGTTTTTATATTGGTTTTTATGTCACAGTCCAACTCTGCTAATGCTGTGGACACTGTAGAGCCGGCCCTCTGTTTTATGGATAGGTGTCGCATGATGCTGCACTGGAGTGCAATGACATCTTGAAGCCACTGTTTAACACATCAAAACAAAATAGAAAAATAGAAAAACAATATATAAATTCTACTTAAACACTGTTACATCTGACATACATTCATTTCCTGACAGTTAATAAAGAGCTCACCACAACTTCTCGACCATGCTTCATCATTTCAAATAATTTCTAAAGGAAGAATTAAATGCCACTGAGTGGCAAAAAGATATGTCACACAAATATGTGCCGCTTTTCCATATTGAAAATGGAAAAGGGCTGCTATGAATCAGTTAATGTGGTATATTAAACTATGTTCATATATCTTGACAAACCAAGACAAGCTACATGGCACAAGTCATAAAATAAGGCTTTTACAAGCACTTGATGTAAAAATTATATTATAATTACATAATTATAATGCATTGATTTATACCTTATTTATAATTTTGTTTTACAATATTTCAAATCAGTCTACTGTACAAAAAAAATGATGATGTTTGCCTTTTAAGCTATCACTTTTTAATACATCAGCTTGTATGAAAAGCACACAAAATGTACACAAAATGTGCTATACAAATAATTTTGCAAATCAAAATAAATTCTTAAAAGGTGTGGTAGAAAAATGTTTTAATAAATAAATAAAGGGGGGGGGGGCACTGGTATCTTTGACCTACCTCCTGCTGTTCAGCTTCCGTGGTGAAGTTCTTTGAGGGCTGATGGTCAGGAACGACGCTGCAAACCAGCTCTAGCTGCCGCATCCCTGCAGTAAGCAGCATAGGTGGAGGATTCTGGTACTGAGACTTGATGGCATCTGGCACCTTGGTAAAGAATGGTTATTAGAAATAACTACTTTGCAATCATATTTCTAGGCATTATATTGTCTCCAATACTGAATTATGTTTTACAATCTCTTATATTCCATACAAAAGATTGCTGCTTTCAATAAGCATAAAAAGAAAGCGAAATGCCGGAACTGTCAATGTTGTAGAACTAAAATATTTAACTGTTAAATACTGTATAATATAAAAGGTAAGCACATGTACACTCCAAACTTCACAGTAGTTCTGTTCTTTTCAAAAGAAAACAGATAAACTCATGCTGAGGTACATGAGGCTACCTTAATAGTCCTCTTGTTTTGGTGGTGCAAAGTGCGCCGTTTTGGAGCATTCTGCCAATGAACCCTACGGAGGAAGTCCAATTTAACAGCATGCTGGGACATCCTGTCCTGGAAGTGGTCAAAGAGCTGACAGCGCCTCGACAGACTCAGGCTCCTTTGATTTAGCTGAACAGTATACAAATGAGAAATTAGAAAGACTTACATTTTTCAAAGAAAGAAAGTGAAAAGAACAAAATCTGGAGCCCCAACCATGCATCTTACCACTATGTGCTCAACATGGTTTGGACACATCCACTTGCCAGCAGGTAAAGCGGTGAGCGGGGGATCCAGACAGTCCATATGAAAGAGAAGTGGACAATAATCGCATTGGATCAGTGGTGCCAATCTGCAACTCCTACAAGAGAAAATATTGAATTAGTTGAACATAATAAGACATCTCATTGTTATATGTAATTTTCTTCATGGGCACTAGAATCTAACCTGCTGCATGCAAAGCAAACTTTGACTGGTAGAGGAACAAGACCATTGGGATCCAGTTCATGCTGAGGCCTTCTGAATGGCTTTCCCAGAAGTTCCTCTTTCCTCCTTCGCTTACTGCTTCCTGAAATGCCGAAATCCATAAAGCTACATTAGAGAAAAGATTCTTCTTGAACCAACTTGGACTATAATGGGCCATTTTGACAGATGATCTGTAGCCCTCAAATATCCTTAATCGAGAAACAAATGTCTACATTATCTATAACCTTTTGCAGAGACTGACAAGTCGTCTGTGTGAATAAAGCAGCAAAACTCCAGATGAGTGTGTTATACCACAATGAGAGGGACATTTGGATCAGCAAGAAGAAATTAAAGACACCTATCACTGCACAGTCTTTGAAAAGAGCTGAATATACAAATTTTGAAGTTGTCAACATTCCACAAAATTTTCTTTCGTATCGACACGGTGGTGTGGTGGTTAGCACACCACCGTAGCCCCATTACAGCAAGAGGGTTCTGGGTTCGAATCCCAGGGGGAACCAGGACCTTTCCGTGTGGAGTTTGAATGTTCTCCATGTGTGGGTTCTCTCCGGGTTCTCCAGCTTTCTCCCACAGTCAAAAAACAGTCAGCTTTCTCCCACAGTCAAAAAACCTGCATGTTAGGTTGACTGGACATTCCAAATTGCCCCGTGGTTGTTTGTCCTTGTATGTCTTATGTGTGTACCTGCAATGGACTGGCAGACTGTCCAGGGTGTACCCCGCCTCTCGCTCATTGATCACTGGGATAGGTTCCAGTTCCCCATTAGGGAATAAGCGGCAACGATAATGGATGGATCTACTCATCCCAGTTCCACGGCTCTACACAGTACCACGGGGACTGAGTAAAGCCGACAGCGAACTGCCGAGTGCTGCTTAGCCAGGGAAGTCAAATGATAAGACAGTGACAGCGACACGTGTACCCGGCCCATTTAAAAATGATTTAAAAAACCACCATCCAATATAATCATTTTTGTGATCAGAAACCATGTAGAACTATGCCGGGGCGAACCGTGTAGAGCATTAATGTAAAAATGCGTTATGTCTTGTAATCTATTGACATTTGTTAAATATTGTCCACAAAATTAGTTCTATTTCAAGGTTTATCAACTTTAACCCTTCTACAACTATCCTGTAACAAGCCATACACCCATACATTAGTCTTTACAATGCACCTGTGCAAAAGTATTAACACAGATTAAATCAATTTACATATCACATTTCTAACATGAACATCTCAGTATTGTAACTTAACGGTTGGTGGAAAACAAATTTTAATCATTGTCTCAAAATAGAAAACAAAGGTTTCATTATTAACTCATTGGCTGCCAAAAACGTCTATAGACGTCAATTCAAATACAACCGTTGACTGCCAAAGACGTCTATAGACGTCTTTTATGTTTTTCAACGAGAGTGGCTGGGGAACGATCTGCTAAAGCTTGTCCGTAAATATCAGGCTTCTAGACAGAGTATGTACTAACAAATTGACCCTCTAGGTGGCAGTGCCACTTTTGATGGGAGATGAGCATAGACTGTAGGCAAATAAGAAAAAGGTAACAGTTCGCTATGAGAGAACATGTCGCCGGTGAGACGCAAGTCAAGGAAGAACGAAATAAGGTAGAAACTAATTTTATTTTCCTGATGAAAGAAAAGAGTTTACTTTTTCTTTTGGTGTGTTCGGTGTTTACATAGTCAAGCACAAACTATTCTGTGGCTCTTGAAAAATCAGTCAAAATGCTAAAAAAACTGGCAGTACTCTCTGTTCTGAAAATGGCTGGCAGTCAATGAGTTAAAGATACACTGAGCAAGGAACCTAATTGAGGATTACAAGAAGTTTAACTTATTTTACATAGATATTGTTTAAAAAACAAAAATACAGCTTTCGGAAAAGTGGCTGACTGACCTGGCAGCGCAGTGGTGCAAGTGAGCTCACTGGGAAGCTGAAACTGTGTGGGGTTTCTCTCCATAGCTGCTGCTATTAGAAGTTGAAAGGGCCTCTTGAGGAGGCGTGGTGTTGGAGCCGAAGCCATAGCACCTTCCGGATCTGCTGCCTGAACATCATCCTCAGGCTCAGCCCCCTCTTCTTCTCCATCATTCTGTTCCTCTGATGGAGTTGGGGTGGATGAAGTGTTGGATGTCGGAGTCCCGGGCCGGCTGCTCGGTCTACTACTGGTTCGACGGTCCAAAAGGCGAACTTGAGCGACTCGCAGACCAGGACCTGCTGCTCCAGCACCTGGGGGCAGACCATCTAGCCGCAGCGGTCCTGGACTAAGCTCAAGCTCCACAGCAGGAGATGAAGAGCGCTTAGATAAGGACTTATCTGGTAGACCATTGGTATGTTCAGACTTCTGCTCTCGCTTCTAGCATCGGCACATAAAGATGGAAATAAAATAAAAAAATTAAAAATGCAGATGGGAAAAATTCTAAATTGAAATAAAAAACACATCAAAACATGACACAAATACTTTGAATAACACGGTGCATAATACATAATAACAATGAATTAGGATTCACCTAAACACTCCTTTACTCTAAAAGGTCAAGAAAATTATTAAAAAATCAAAGATTCAAGGAACTATTTACACAGAAATGTCAGGCTGACGTTCAGATTATTGGAAAACAAAACATGTATAAAAGTCTGAATAGCATAATCTGCTACAAACCTTTTTCCTGACATTGCAGCGATGACACATCCATTCTCCTGGGGGAAGCATTTCTTCACTTAGGGGTGGGTTGCTATAGTAAGATAAAAAGAACATCAAATTAATCAAATGATCAATAGCTGTTGGATTACTCACTGTATGTAGTATGATAATATATTTCACATGTATCTCTAACTCCACCCAGTGGAGTACAATTGCATTACAATAAATGTGTACAGTGATTTTTTCACAATTACCTTTGGATGAAAACAGTCTGTAAAGAATGTGATGAATTGATAAACACTTATCAGTATCAATGATGATAGTATTGATACTACTGGATAATAATAACTGTAGCAAATTGCCTAAATACACAATGAAAATGAAAAAGAAAATCGCTTTAGTAGGATATATGTTTTCAACAATAAAGACAATAGTGCCCAACATAACCATATCAACAATTTGGTAACATGGAGTAACGTAACTGTTCTTCCTTACACAACTTTTGCACATTTATCAGAAACAATAACCAAAAGCCAGTCTTTGCTCTTTATATTAGTTTATTTTAGATCGAAATCCTCCAAAGTATTATTATTCAGCAACAAATGATAAACACATGCTCCTGACCAGTGTGGCCATTCCGATAAATCATTAGCGTTTCAGCGTTTCCAGGTGCATGTCAGAAAATAACATGCTTACGGTCGAGTTTGTGTTAATTTAATCACACATACATTCGCTGCTGTTCTTACTCAAAAATATACTAAACTGCATGCCTTGTTTGTGGATATTTAATCCCTCATAGCCGAATTCGAAAGACTGGCAAGATGGCGCTAAAATACAGAAGAAGCGCAGGGAGGTCGCCATATTGTAAACAGAGACAGACTCGACTCCATTTTTAGAAGTACTGGCTCTACAAACCAAAGCGGTGGAGGGAGGGGGGGAAACTTCGAGACCATTTTATCCGATTTCACACGCTAAGACACAACTTGTACTTGAATTAAAATTATTTCACCCGCGAATTAATTATGCTGGATCCCGATTCAGCATGTTTGGTAAACTCTTCATTAAGTGTGTTTGACACTATATATCTGAAAGCATATTATACTCCAAGAAGCATTAAAGAAATAGAAGACGCATCTTACTCTCATATTAAATTTAATCCAGGGGGCGTTTTCTTAATTTTATGTTGCTCTATTTCGACATAATCGCACTGAAAATAATTCCCCGGGTTATCCAGAAGTTCACCATGGGGAAAAAAGCAACACAATGCTCTCTATCGCCCTCCTGGGTGTAATGGTATGTTGGGATGCAGTGGAACCATTAATACAATATAAAATTATATCTGGCAAACCGAAACACCAATTCAAGAGACAAAGCCATTGTTGTAAAAAGTGAATAGAGTACAATTTAATTTGAATAAGAGGCAGATAAGCTTTCAGTCTTTATGCTCAGCTGAGACTACTTGTCCTTTTTTATAGGTTAACGTTTAGCATACAGTTTTAAAAGTAAACAATGTCTCTGCATTTGTACTCTTACCAGCACTGAAGGTGAAAAGCGGCAGGACAGTGGTCACAGCACAGCAAATCGCCCCCTTCTCGACAGCTGTCGCAGGTGTCGTGATTAGTGGCCCTCCCGCTCCTCCGGACGTCTCTTACCAACTTCCGACTTCTCTTCTCTACTTCTTCAGACTTCGGGGGTGCAAGTAGTGTTTGAATTTGCTGGGGAAATAGCCATGGGTTTTAGAATGGGATGGTGTTTGTTTATCACGACTGACTGTCTAAAACTGGAATTCATACAACCTTTATTTTAGCTAGAGTATGGTAACGTCAACTTGCACCTTCCGTTATCAACCTATACAATTAAATGTATGAGTTTAAAGTACTTAAAAATACTATGCCAAAAAGGCAAATCAGTCAATTAAGACGATACAGTATCAGCAATAACCGAATATTTCACTTCACTGGGGCCTTCAAGCATAGCAACCTCACCTCCATTAAGCCCCCAGAGGTATCCAAATCGTATACAATCGTTGGAGTCTCCATTTTGTCCCACATTCATCAAAGTGTAGACGTTCCAAAATGAATGTCCGATGCCAGTACCTTGGGGCACACGGCAATCAGTGCAAACCTTGAAGGAAATGTCTAATTCTAAATGCTAACGGATGGCTAATCAAGCGTCGCTAGCTATCGTTAGCTGGCTAAGGGAGCTAACGAAGGCAAGACGTCAACCAGTCAAGGTTGTGAAGCTAGCAAGCTTACTAACTTATGCTGCTGTCTGAAAAAGAATTAGAATTTAAATGTTATCGCGCTACCAGAAGACTTGCTTCTTAACACCACATGTTATGCGCAAGTACATACACTACAACTAGGGTATGATCTATATTTCCTTGCTCCTCTCTACAAAATCCATCTGCGGCCTAGCTGGCCAGCCATGATTCTTGTTTCTGCTCCTGCAAAAAGGAGCCTGGTAAATCTTTAAATCCATTCGCTCCCATTATCAACATAAGATTCAACCAAAAAAAAGAAAAGTACGGTCGGTGTGTCGCAGTCCAAAACGATTCTTACGAGAGCGTTCGGAATGTGTAATCCTCAAATCAGAGGTGTGGGGATGCAGTATTAGTTGGTGTTATTGTTGTGAAAAAGCCTCTGCATCTACCCTGGCTGCTAGCAACATCCTCTACCAGTTGGCGCAACCGCGAACTACGCAACACGCATGCGCATTTAAACCTCCACAATTACTTGGATACCTTCAGCGTGTTTAGGCATTGCTATTGTTCAACTGACAGTAATAATCGTACCTATTATCACTGCTCCTGTTCTTAAAGTAACTAAAACTGCTGCTTCGATTTTTTTAGACAGGTATAGTTTTTAGAGCAACAGAAAGGTCTGTTACGGTTTCTTATTTGTGCCTTGTTATGTCCCATCAGTTTGCGATTAAAGTTATCCGCTGCTTTTATTGTGTCTGGTTTAACGTGGAAAAAACTACTTTCACTTTAATTGTACCTGAGTATGATGTTACTGTGAATATTGTACATCTTGTTTATTATAAGATACCTCACGCCTAGTCTTAATGTTCAAATTAGGGCTCTTTGGGGAATCAGAATCAGAAATACTTTAATAATCGCAGAGGGAAATTATTTTTGTTACTAGCTCCATAAATAAAACTATATATATATACACAAAATTTCCACACAGATAATAGATAGATATATACATAAATAACTATATGTATATATATATAGGTCTGAGATAAGTGGTAGTGATAATGTCAATAATTTAGTTTGACTCTCAGAGGGAGGCGTTGTACAGATTGCTGACCACAGGCTGGAAGGGTTTCTGGTGGCGCTCTGTGGTGCATCTGGGTGAGAGGAGGTTTCTGCTGGGCCAGTGTGTTGTAGAGAGGGTGTGACGCATTGTCCAAGATGGACTGAAGCCTGGACAGCATCCTCCTCTCTGCCACGGTCGTCAGAGTATCCAGCTCCTCCCCTACGACATCACCGGCCCTCCTGATCAGTTTGTTAAGTCTGTTGCTGTCTGTGATCTTCAGCCCACTGCCCCAGCATGTGACAGCAAAGAAGATTGCACTGGCCACAACAGACTCATAAAACATCCTCAGCATCGTCTGACAGATGTTAAAAGACCTCAGCCTTCTCAGGTAGAAGAGTCGGCTTTGGCCCTTTTTGTAGACTGCCTCTGTGTTTCTTGTCCAGTCCAGTTTATTATGTAAGTACACCCCCTCGTACTTATAGTCCTCCACAGTGTCTACAGGGACCCCCTGGATGGAAACAGGGGTCACAGGTGTTTTGGCCCTCCTCAGATCCACTACTATCTCCTTAGTCTTTGTCACATTGAGCTGCAGATGGTTCAGTACAGGCGTACATACTGTGGTCTGCCCATCAGGTAATCAACAATCCAGGACACGATGGGGGCATCCACCTGCATCGCCGTCATCTTCTCACCCAGTAGAGCCGAACCGATGGTGTTCAAAGCACTAGAGAAATAAAAAAACATGTTTCTCACAGTGCTTGCCGACTTATCCAGATGAGTGTAGACTCTGTTCAGCAGGTAGATGATACTGTCCTCAACTCCCAGGTGGGGCTGGTAGGCGAACTGTAATGGATCCGTGAAGGGCCTGACCATAGGCCTTAGCCGTTCCAGAACTAGCCTCTCAAAGGTCTTTATGATGTATATACCATAATAATAATAATGCCATCTTTTGTAAGACTCCTGCAGACATTTTGTGGGTGCAAAAATGTGAGATCCAGCTATAATTACCTAAAAATGATCTCCAAAGTGTCCGTTAAATAAAGTGTAAGATTGTGGAATAAAACTAGTCATACATTTAAAAATAGGTAAGCTGTCGTTTTTTAGAAGGTTTAGGAAGGTTTTATGTTCCTTAGTTGGTTTCTGGGGTTCGGCATATTAAATAGATTTTTATACTGAATATTTTACAGTGACTGGCCAGAAACAACATTCAAAACTTCTACTATCTTCAGATAGTTTAAGCCTTTATTTACAACAAAAAATAAAGTCCTTGAATAAAAAAGATTTATATTTTCTGCTATTTGCAGTAAAAGTAAGGAAACCTACAGTTGAATGAATAAATTGAAGCCTTATATGAGAGCATTTACTAGTTTATCAAAGATAACTTTTTAAGATTTCAATAAATTTGTTATCGATCGATAGGTCATGCTTTGATTCCCTCAATGAACTGGATGACAAAAAAACAAAAACAAATTTGTGCTGCAATGCTGCATGACAGTTCAGCTGATTCAGTTAATACCAGAGAATATTTCATATGATAGATAATGGTCGTTTATAATCCTCACCAGCAGAGGGAGGTACCACCAAGTCATGAGTTGTTTGCCAACAGGATTCTGAACTCTACACGTTTCAAATCCTCATAGGTTTCAGGAAAATAAAGTAATACCTACCTCTATCCTAAATTCTACTATTGCCACCATCTACAGCACTTACTATTTAAAACTACAACTCTTTTATTTCCCTTGTTTTAAGATATGAAAATTATCCACAATTAGTACAATTAACCAAACTTTGGGCTTTTGAAGCAAGTCTTTGATCTTGATCCATGATCTTAAAAAGCATTTATTTTTCTAATTACAGCACTAAAATAATCAGCTGGGCTTTCATGGCACATTTCACATTGTTAAAAAGTAATTCCAAAAGTGCTGGATATCTTTACTGCTATAGGAAATAAACACAAATCTCATTTATAAAAAAAAAAAAAACTATTATTATGAGATAAGAGTAATTAACCCACACTTAGCTTAGGCAACTTTTATTTCACACTGTTAGCATGACATAAAAGTGTTTCTCATTCCACTCATTCCAAAACTTAATGATGATCCTTAACTATCTGTGGACAGCTAAGTACAACACGACACAGTCACTATGAATTAAGGAGAATTTAGTTGCCAGTGATGAAAATTAAAAAGGAAATATGAATTTCTTCAGTCTTTCCTGAGCTAAACTATGAAGATTACTGTCTATTTTGTGAAAATTCGCTGTACTTATTTAATTTTGGTCTTGTCTTCACTGAGTTTTCTCTTTCTCGCTATTTTTCTCTCATAAGTCAGCACTAGGCTCTGATAACAGCTTTAAATTTGTCAGCTAGGTCTGTGGCATTAGGTACATGCCCACTGCAATGCTCATTCACGTTTTCTCAGCAAATTCAGTAATCACATGGACAGGATGCTGGCCAATGAGATTCAGTTGCAAAATCCATCCTAATATACGGGGGGCTTCACGGGCCAAGGAAGATATCTGTAATTTCGTGTGGATATAAGAGCTCTTTGTCCAGCACTGCTTTACTTTTCATGCGAAAACTTCTTTGGTTTGTTCATAGGCTTCCAACAAAAGAGTCGGCCTGACAACTTGGTGTCGTGACCCAAATGGCCTGATTCTAAAAACGTGTCTGAAAAAAGACTGCTTGAGTCCATCATAGAAGACTTTTTTCAGGCAACTGCAGGCCTGCAATAAAAGGTAGAGCATTATCACATGGAAAATGTCCAGTGAAGCAATTATCCTTTTCATAATGATTCTAGACGTGCACAACTAGATTTGGTATTGGATGATAAAGAACAAGAAAAAGAACAAACCCGCTGATGACCTAATATGACAAATAGAATAAAAGACACCCTGTCAGAAACCGGGAGGTGACTGTGTGCTCAGCAGTTGTCTCGGCTTGAAGTGCAGCCTGTACCAATATTTCTTTATAGGTTACAGATCAACAACAGCCCAACGAAAGCTCAGGAGCACACATCTCCGTTGAAGGAGGAGAGATGGATTATGAGCATGGTAAACATGCAAGTGCATGAAAAGCTGCACACCTGGCCACAAAGTTTAATTGTATTAAACTGCAAAAGATGTACGAATAATTTGCAGAAGGATTTACCTTTCCATCTATTTAGCCTTCTGAATTCTGGTAATTGTGATATTAAAAAACATTTGTGTAAAATAATCAAAAGCCCAATCTCTTTTTATACAATATGAGGCTGCATATTGTTACTGTTTATGTGCCTCCCAGTACTAATAAAAAAGAGGCTATGAGTGTTCTCTATCGGACTATCTCTGAGCTGCACACACGGTGTGTGTTTTCATCATTGCTGGGGACAAGGGACTTGCATGCCAATATGAAAACTGTTCTCCCTCATTTCTACCAACACGTGGATTTTTCAACTCGGGGAGAGAAAACTCTAGACTTAGTTTATAAAAATATAAAAGATGCATTCAGAGCAGCCACCCGCTTCCACCTCGGCTCTTCAGACCACCTATCTGTAATGCCAATTCCTGCATACATTTCCTGCTGATCAGAGCTAAACCCACAGTGAGGCGGCGAGGATGGGGAATGAGGGGGTCGTGGAGGCACTCCAGGACTGTTTTGAGAGCTCTGACTGGGACATGTTCAAAGCTGCAGAAACATATGACAATATATGGCAATCATTGAATACCACACGCCCCCCCAGTGGGTGAAGTTGATGCTGACTTCCTCAATGGACTAAATAACTTCTTCAGGAGGAGCCCGTAACATCATCAGAGACCCCTCACACCCCCACCATGATCTGTTCTCCCTGAATCCCTCTGGGAATAGGTTCCGCAGCATTTGCAGCAGGTCCACAAGATTCTGCAACAGCTGGAATGGACGCTGTCATAAGCTGTATGCAACAAAATTTCGTTCTGTATGCACTCCGTACATACAAAATGACAGTAAAGTTGTCTAAGTTTAAGTCTAAGTGCATTAGGGGAAGCTGTCCTCCATGTAGAAGACATCCTGTCTGGTTTCAGTCCCCAAGGAGTCCCGCATGAGCCAGCCAGAGGACTTCAGACTGGTGGCCTTGACATCACACGTCATGAAGAACCTGGTGCGGCTCCTACTTTAACACCTCAGGCCCCAGGTCAAACTTGCCCAGCATCCCCTCCAGTTTGCCTAACAGGTAGGTGGGTTTCAAGGATGCCTTCCTGTATCTGATGCGCAAAGGTGACACTCTCATCTGAACATGGTACGAGGTGCAGTTAGGATCATGTTCATTGAATTCAGCATGTTCTTTGACATCCAGCCCTTCCTACTGAGAGACTGGCTGTGTAGTATGGGAGTGGAGGCGCACCTGGTCTCCTGGATTGCGGATTCATCCATCCATTTTCTGAACTGCTTATTCCCTAATGGGGTCGCGGGGGGACTGGAGCCTACCCCAGTATTCAATGGGCAGGAGGCAGGGTACCGTCCAGGTAAAACCCTGGACAGTCTGCCAGTCCATCATAGGGCCACACATATAGACACACAAAGATGAACAACCACGGACAGTCACACTCACTCCTAAGGGGAATTTGGAATGTCTAATCAACCTGACATGCAAGTTTTGGGACGGTGGGAAGAAGCCGGAGAGAACCCACGCAGACACACGGAGAACATGCAAACTCCCCACAGAAAGGTCCTGGTTCCCCCAAAAGGCAATGGTTCTAATCAACACACCACTGTGCCAACCGGTGTGTGGATCAAATTTCAGGTTTGTTATTTAAACTGTCCTGTTGCAGTGGGATACCAAGTCAATTTCCTGTGTACATTTGGTCAATGAAACGATTTCTGATTCAGATTTCTGATTTTGATTATCTCACTGTGTTTTTTATGCTGGGCAGCTCCATTTCGGACACTGTGATCTGCAGCACAGGGATACCGTAAGGGACAGTGCTCTCCCCAGTCATGTTTATGCTCTACACATTTTATGTCCAAATGGAACTCCATGAAGAAATACTCTGAATGCACTGCGATTGTTGGATATATTGCAGATGGCCAAGATAGGAGGTTTGGTGAAGGACTTAAGTTTTATGGTGCAGGTCTGACCATCTGCAGCTGGACAGATAAAACACTGGTTTCTGTTGAGGACTCTGACATGGAAGAGGCCAGGACATATATGAACCTAGGACTGCAGCTGGATGACAAAAGAGTTGTCTTTACTTCCTGTGGATACTTGGTTTCTTTAATATCTCTATGTTTGTTGTGTATTGTGTTCTCTTTTATGTCGTGATTTGTTGGGGGGCAGCATTAAAAAGAGAGATGCTGGGAGTTAGAAAAGATTGGTGAGGAGGGCTGGATTTGTGGAGAGCACAGTGTTGGACTCTGGTCTTCTGAGGCAGAGAGACGGGCCCCAGAGTACACTCCAACACAACACTCAGTAACAGCCACGTCAGGCTGTTGTCTCTGATCTCCGCAAAAAAACATACTTAAAAGGGTTAAGTATGTTAGTTTGTTTAAAGCCTGATCCAAGAAAAAAATAGAGGGATTTTTTGTTTGTTTGTTTGAAGTCTTTATTTGGCACTTTGAATTAGAAAAACTCAACGTACTGTGTGAATTCTTCTTAGTCTTCTGGTCTTCTGCCTGCTGTTATCAGGCAGTTATCAAGTTTTTACCATTAAATTAATCAAAAGCTTCCAGATGCAAAACATTTCAGAAACTATATAGCAGGTGTTCACATAACTGGTACACATGACCCTTTTCCAAAAAATGTATTTTCTTCAGCACCGGTTGGTATTTCTTTGTAGGTGGCTAAACGCTAACGAAGCAACTTAATGTCTGTTGCTTTTGTTGGTGTTGATAACCTGATAGTCAAGTGTGCAAAGCCCTCACATACTTGACCAGAAAGTTATCAACACCATTATCTCATCTAACGTTATACATGATGCTTTTTAATTACAGTCACAGATGTTCAAGAAGGCTTGTGTCCCTCTGGCCATAAGACCGTAAAACTATTCACTGAGTGGCAATCATCAGACAGCAAACTGGAGATTGGTATGTGGATGATAAATGAACGCCTTCTAACCGGGCTTTATAAGGTTGACGAGTATTAAATTAAGTTATATGCACTGTGGAGGCCCCATTACCATTGAGTACAAGAGTTTCATATCAGCACCTTTACTTCACACAGCTTCTGAGATAATTTTTATTGCCCAACATGACCCATATGTGGTATAACATGAGCACATTGCACATGTTTATCTTCAGTCTGCATCTTAAAATTAAACCAACGTAACAAACGCTTCAAAATCTCTTTGAAAAAAAGGAACAAGAAAAAGTAACAACAGAAAAAGACTGCAGGAAAAAAAGAAAAAAAAGTCAGATGCATGTGGCTGGGAGAAAAAAAATAAAAAACACAAAAACTTACGACGTAAAGATTGCAAAAATCAGACAAGAAAACTTTTGCTCAGAACCCAAGGATTGGAATTATTTGGCACAGAGGCTCCAGGAACAACGCAGTAGGAAATCGATAGGTGGTGCTGTGTCAGCACTAGTGCAGGCGCAGTGCTGATCAGTTGTGGTGAAGAGAAGGCTGAGTCACTCTCAAAAAACTCTCAAAAAACAGAACTATTATAACCAGCAGCTATCAGAATTTGTCATCATGACAATGAGTTTTTGTTGAAGTTACTGAATGTGTCAGGCTTTAAAGAGATTAGGCTGAAACAAATAGACTTGAAGAGTCTGTTTTTGAGAATACTTTTTGTAGTTTGTGTAGGGGCCTCCAACTTGTTGTTCAAAAATTTTAAATATAGGCATAGGCAGCATATCTGTCTTTTGATAATGTTTTTACAATCTCATTCCCAAACAAGTGCCGGGACGTGTAAAAGGCAAGCACCCTTCTCTAAACATTCTGTCACTAACTGACCTGAAGGTGACTCCATGATTAATTTATGTACAGTATAACCCAAGTACCTACCGTTTTCTCACTTGTTTAATCTGGTCTTTGCCAGCACTCTTATCATGAAGGCTTCCCATCTGACCAAAGTACAACTGTTACATAACCACAGTCCACTCTGTCCATTGTAAATTCATTTGGTGTCTCACTTGCAGCCCTTCAAAAGTTAAAAGACAATGTTTATATTTCACAGTGCCATATTATGACATTGTTGTGAAATTAAAAGACGTTCGCCATGTAATTCTTCTGAAAATGTGAAAATGCTGAGCCAGCTCTGTAAAAATCATAAAGGAAAATATTTTATTCCTCACTAGAATGGGAAATTAAATTGTAAAGTATTTCAAATTGAAATTTACAATGATCTAATATTGGAGAAAATAAACAAATAAATAAACTTCAAAAAGTAGTAGCACCAGTGTTGCCTGTACGTGTTAAATGGTGGCCTAAGATATTCCTACTCAATTTCTCCTCTTAGGAATAAATGGTCAAATCTGAATATACCAAAGGTTTGAAGGATTTGTTATTTATTCATAACTGTAAATTGTAATTTAAAATGTCAAATTTCAAAATTCTAGGTTATTTTAGGTGTGTGTTTGATTATTGTAACTTGTGTGAATATGAAACTGTGAAATTATAACTTTATGTCTATTGCCACATTTAGATAAATGATACTGTTTGTGAAAATGGACTGAGGCTTTGGTTATATAACAGCTGCACTTTGGTCACTGAAAAGACTGGAAAAGGAGTGCTGGAAAGGACGAGATTAAATTACAGATACTGAAACATGAATGACTCACTAAATATATGACTGATATCATACATATCAGCAAATATTTTGGAACATTTTTCCCCCCGCTTGTTTTGTTTAATTATTGGTATAATACTTGTAAGCCATGCTGGTTTATTGTGGCTTTTCAAGGAACACAGTGTTTAACTGTGGAACTTCATGCAAATCCCATTCATGCAACTTCTGTGTATCACAAACACATAGGAGCTGGATTCTCCACCCTACAGTTGCAAAAATATCTGCAAAATTATTTTGAAGCACTGTTGAATGTTTTATTTGGGAATGTGATCAAATGGTGTTTGATATTCTGCAAACAGCTGAATTTCCTAGGATTAGATAGACTTCAATGCTGTTTTAAGGATTAAATTAATTAGTATTATATTATATTAGTATAATATTTGTCTTCTTTAAATGTATTATTTTGCATCCATTGTATTAGTACTATGATCATTACAGTATGATGCTCAATTGAAACAATATTCATATTTGTGTTTTTATAATTGTTATTTATTACTCTTTTTTTTAAGCAAAAACATAGTTACCACAGAAATACAGATAACCTTGTGATTTAAAGTTTAACTAAGTTGCCTTGTTTTTCTGTGCGGCTCAGTTCAACAGTATTTACTTCCAACCCTTTGACTGTCAGTCACTGGTTTCCATGCATGCTGTTATAGTCCCAACGTTATGAAGTAGACCAAATCCAAACTCTTTCTTCTCTTATGACCAAAAACTTAAAGTTTGACAAATACAATTATTCTATAATTTTACTCATGGACTCTTAGCAGTATAACCAATGGGACTTGCTTGGCGTGACGTATTTCACGTATTCCTGTCTGACTGTACTCAGGGAAAAGTGGGCAGAAATGGGTGGACCTTTGAGTATATTAGCCGGTTTAGGCTGTCTTGCGAATGCAGAAGGTAAGCAGATATGTCTTCTAACCGAGTATTCGACTGCATAGTCATCGGAGCCGGTGTCCAGGGTTCCTTCACAGCCTATCATCTGGCTAAAGGGAACAAGAAGGCTTTGTTGCTGGAACAGGTGTGACACATTACGATTTGGTAACATAAAGTTCGATATTGACGGATACTGACATATAATTGTTTGTTTTGGATATGTTTGAACACCCTTAACTGGGCGTTAGAATTTTTTTCAGATGTTTTACTGTAGAAATAATTTTAAAATACCCATGACGATGATCTATCGTACGTAACATACTGTTATGAACAAGTATCATTATCTCGGAAAAATGATAAACGTAAAATAAAAACGTGTAATGTGAAAATGAAGTTCATTTAAGAATATAGCGTTATTAATACATTATATTGTGCTGATGTATTTGATGGGCCACTGTCACACCAATTGATAAACAGTATTGAATAAATTCTAAAGTATCAGAAAATAGCCAACAAACGTGATAAACAAGAGGGGTTAGTCTAGTAAAGTTTTTCAAGACTAAATAAATAGATAGGTGTAGTACACCATTTTACTAGCTGTAGAAAATTCAGCCCAAACCCTAACCCATTATCTCTGTCAGGAAACCTCGTAACTTTTTTAACTTCATTGTGAGCTTGTTATGTCTTTGAGTCAGTGAATGCCAATATTTTGCATTAGTATTAGTATTTAACTATGTATTTGAACAACTTTAATGACTAATTTGATCTATTATTTATGCCCCTAATGAAAGCAGACACTGTTTAGTGTTAAACACGGTTAAACAGTTCAGCAGAACTCTGTTGTGGACATTTTGTTTCAATTGCATGAATCGTAATAAAAATTACGCAAGTGAATCCCCATCAAGTTGGAAGTAGCTACTTAAGAGAATGTCTGATCTGTATATAAAGTTACTGTGTTGGACTGGTCAAAAGCCAGATTTACTCTACATTGATTCAGAAGTTTAAATAGTTGAAACGGTCTGAAACAGACCTGTCCAGAGTGTACTCCACCTCTCGCCAATTGTCAGCTTGCCAGAATGTAATCTCCAGCCCCCAACAACCCCACTAGGAATAAGTGGCATAGATAATGTTTTTTTGGGACACTGCCTACATATTTTATATATGTATTACAAAATAGCCCCACATCTGTCTACAAATGTTGTGCATGAGTGCATTATGCATTTTTTATAACCCTCTGCATATAGATCTAAACTACAGATACAAAAGAAACATATTCTTGAAGCACAAACATAAATCTTAAACAGGCCAACAATTCTGTACTGAGCCAGAGAAGTAGAATTCAGTGCAGGAAACTCCACTTTATTCCAGACAAGTCAGAGTTGTACAATTTTCTTTTCCAGTTTGTCTTGCCTCACTCCAGAGGGAGCTCTCATGGCCAGACTCGTATCATCCGCAAGGCTTATGAACAGGACTTCTACACCCACATGATGGAGGAATGCTACGAGTTGTGGTCTCAGCTGGAGAAGGAAGCAGGTGTTGAATTGTACAGGTAAGAAGCGAGCAGAATAGAAAAGAGAAAATCTATTAACATAAGCAAACAAAAGTCAATTTCAATACTATATTTTCACAAAAACTATCACTAGACTTTATACTAAAGTAGGAACTTTGTCCACATAATCCTGACATAAATCAATGTAAGCATCCAGGAGTTTATGATAAATCGCTCCTTGATGGTTATGTAATATATATATATATCAGTGGCAGACCATGCATTTCACACCTATGCCTTCAGTAGTGCTTTGTCTGAATCAATTTACTCCATAATAACTCTTTTATGGTTAGAAAAATCATCTTATTATGTAGAAATACAGTACAAAGATCGGGGTGCACAAGTCTTCTACTACTGCAGCTGCAACAAACGCCCCCGGCCAAAAAAAACCCATCAATAATTTCCTCATAAACTCGCAATATTATTAAGTAAAAAAGCAACATTTTACTCACTTACCATTTAAGAAAAGTCGGTCATGAAAATGGCCTTGACAGTAAATCTGCCACCAAATCAATTTCTTCTCCTCCTGAAATTCCTCCTGAATTCCTCCTGGGGTGATAAAATAGCTATTACACTAACACAACTATATTTCGGTTAGTTTGCTAGCTTTGGCTGGTACCGCTATCTGACTATCCAATCAACGGGTGTGAATACGGTGACGTTGCCTTACGCCTGTAAAAGGCCCTGGTTTCATCAACTTAAAATCTGATTGGTTAAAGCAACAGTTTAATCGACATCTATTTTCTGTTAGAACGGCCTGCAGAATGGACTGTGAAGGCCTAAGGGCAGATATTTTTTACTTTGACCCTGCCTAGGAACAAATGGTGGCTGAAATGTGATTGGTTAAATGCTTTAATGTGAAAATACATGTCTGGAAGCAGTGCAACCAGCTATGAAAGGAAGCGGACAGACCATTTGGAAATATTCTAGGCCAAAATATAATTAACATCAGATATTTTCTTAGGCCAGCAGAGTTGGCCGTCAGGACCTGCAAGGCCTTCTCTGCAGGCCTAAGAAAATATCTGAATAACAGACTGATGTTAATTATATTTAATTTAATTAATCAATTATATTTAATTATATATATATACAGTAAAACCTCTACATACAAATTCAATTTGTTCTGGGACCTCTTTTTATGTTAAAATATTCGTATGTTTGTTCAAATATTCCCATAAGAATACACTTTAATTCGTATAATTCGTTCCACAGCCCAAAAACCTATGATAACTCCTTAATAAATACTGCAGATAATTACACATAGCAATAAAACAAATGCATTATATTAGAGAGATGTAAAAAGAAATAAATCCACCCCTCCATCCTCCAACGCTTATCCGCGGTCGGGTCGCGGGGGCAGCAGCCGAAGCAGGGAAACCCAGACTTCCCTCTCCCCTGCCACTCCCACCAGGTTCTCCGGGGGGATCCCGAGGCGTTCCCAGGCCAGCCAAGGACATAGTCCCTCCAGCGTGTCTTGGGTCTCCCTATGGGCCTTCTCCCGGTCGGACGTGCCCAAAACACCTCACCAGGGAGGCGACCAGTAGGCATCCTGATAAGATGCCCGAGCCACCTCAACTGGCTCCTCTCCACATGGAGGAGCAGCGGTTCTACTCTGAGCCCCTCCCGGATGGCCGAGCTTTTCACCCTATCTCTAAGGGAGAGCCGAGCCACCCTGTGGAGAAAACTAATTTTGGCCGCTTGTATCCGGGATCTCGTTCTTTCGGTCACTACCCACGGTTCGTGGCCATAGACGAGGATTGGATCGTAGATTGACTGATAAATTGACAGCTTCGCCTTTAAGCCCAGCTCTCTCTTCATCATGACAGACAGTGCCCGCATTACTGCAGATGCCACACCGGATTTGCTTTTGTTTTTAAGTTTAGAGAGCAGCACTTTTATTTTGAAATCAAGTCTTGTTCTGAGCTCTCGCACGAGAAGCAGAGATGCCGAAGAAAAAGATTTTCCGGAGTTAAGGATAATGCGTATTGGAATATCTCAAAGTTTTGGACAATTCCCTTTTTCTCGCAGCATGAAGCCAACAATGTATTTTATTTATTTTTAAGTATAATTTTCTATGCTCTGCAGGTTATTGTTTGTCATTGATGTTTGCCCCCAATGTTACCGCCGCCAGACTTAGGGGAATCTGGGCCAGAAGCAAGGGTTAGACAGGCTAGGGAGCACTGTGTAAAAAAGTTATATACACGCTAACTCTGTGGCACAGGGCAGCGGTTCCTCCTCCCAGTCCTCCTATGGCATGTCACTCTAATCCCTTGTCATTCTCCACCATGCTCTTACCTTTACCACATGGATGGCTGTCTGTCTCAACAGTCAATGAATTCAAATTCTCAGGTTCATGAAGAGCTGCTGGATACCTGACTCCTTCCATAAAAATGAATTCTGGTTCCATGAACTCCACCTCTGATTCGAGACCTGAGACTGGTTCATCCATACTTACGGCTGAACAGTGACGTCGCCTCGACACGGGCACCGGCCCCATACATGGCCGCAGGTTGGATCTATGTATGCACTTCACTGGCCCACTCCCCATTGGTTCCACTGAGTAAGTGGTCCCCTGGATATCCACAACTTTGACCACAGTGTCTGACCAGACATCCTGGATCTTGTTTCTTTCTGGTGGCTGATGGCAGAGGTATACCCCACCTCAACAGGCGAACAATACACTCTCTCTTGCTGTTGAGCTGTTCTTTCCACAGACTTTCGGTCAGCACATTCCCTCGCTCCGGCGTGTGCATCTTGGAGACTCTCCAGGTACACAGCTAACAAGTGTGGTTTGTCACTGCTCTCTTGCTCATGGCCTAACAGTGCATCAACTAGAAGGTTTGGGTGAACTCTCACCAGCAAATAGTAGGGTGCATACCCTGTGGTTAAGTATGACTTACTTTCCTTGAGGGTGGTGTGGTGTTGTTCAGGTATTCTTCACTCCATACAACTTACATAGCTCCGCGATTACAGCACTCTCAAAATTTCTGCCCTGGTCAGAGTGTAGGCGTTCAGGTATGCCATATTTCAGAAACCACTCTTTTAGGATGACTTTAGCAGTGGTGTCTGCCTTCTGATTTCGGGTAGCAAAGGCCTGACTGAATTTGGTAAACACATCTGTTATCACAAGCGCATTTTCACAACCATCTGTGGCGCGTTCAAGCATTGTGTTGTCCACAGCAACCACTCGAGTGGCCAAGTAACCAGGAATGAAGTTTAGGGTCCTTGGATCTTAGGCTGAGGCATTTTTGTCAACACACACCTCTGACATCTCCTCACCCTCTGTTCAACATCCCCATGCATGCCCACCTTAAAAACATCTCTGTCTCAGCAGACCAAGTGTCCTCTCTATTTCCTGATGCCCCATCTGGTAATGCAGACCTTTGAGCACTCCTTGAAGCATTCTGGCAGAATCAACTGCTGACACGTTCCAAAATGAGCACCCTCAAACACTCTGCACAGCAGTCCATCTTTTTCATTTTTCATTTAGGCCACCGTTTCAGCCAAGCACGCACTGGTTTTGAGAGACCTTTCCTTTCCTGGTAAGTTGGTTTCCTCTGTTTATCCCAAAACTTCCTTAATACTCTGAACTCGGGATCTAATCTCGGGTTATCTACCATCGGTTGTCATGGGAAACGTAAGATCTCTCAGCAACAAGACTGAGGAGCTCACAGCGCTAACCCGTTTAATGTGCTTTACGGAGATTTGGTTAGACTGTCCTGTGGTAGTATTCCTGACGTATGTTGAAAGTAGCAGATATAAAAGAGTATCAGTTTACTGCAATGCAGAAGGCACTTATATTTGCATGTTGTCGCACATGCTTATTTATTTATTTTTTAGATATATTTTATAAACATCATCGCTTCAAAATTCTGAACAATTGCGTACAATACTATGTTTATGCCACACATTTGGTTTAGAAAGTTTTCATTATTTATTTTTAGCTGTTAGAATAGATAAATGATAATAAAAATACAAGATTCCTTTGAAAGGGACATGGTAATTAGAGTGTTCCAATTGATTGAATTAAAGTATTCATGCTGCATAGCCAGACTTTTATATTGCGTTTCCAAAATACCACATTCACCAACAATGTTATTTGTACCATTTTAGAAAAACAGGACTCTTGGTTATGGGACCAGAGAAGAGTGAGAATTACCAACAGTTTAAGACTACACTGCAAAAGAATAAGATTCCTACAGTGATCTTGACCCCCGATAACTTCAGCAAACATATTTCTAACGTCCAACTGAATGAGGGTGATGGAGCAATAGTGGATGTGACAGCTGGTATCCTGTATGCTGACCGCGCACTCAAAACTGTACAGGTACAACACTTTATTTTCAGGATAGTTTCCCATTAGACTCTTAGTTATCTTCTTGTCTATTTGTGTATTGCTGCCCCCAACTAATTAAGGGCATTGCCTTAATAACATTAACATATGTGGAATTTATATTTACATGTAATGAAAATATAAGAAAATGTAAACAATGAATGAAGTGAAAAGCAACAGAAGTTAACAGAAGATACAAGAACATGTAAGATAAAAGATCAGAACAAGTGTAAAGTATTGGAATGATTGTTCATTTTTTGACTATTGCAATTGGCTACAGAGTTACCTCCCAGTGATGAACACACAAGAAACTTGGGATACAAAAATGGACTAGAATAACCTAGATTTAGCCATTAAACACAAAAGATTCTAATACTGGATCGGTACTTATTGAAGAACCTCTTGATCTCTATGATCCATACATAGAGCATTGAGCAGTGATGGCCACCATGTCTTTGGTGGTCATTGGGTGGGAACCTTCTTTCACCATGCTTTCGTCTAGTCCAACGAAACATCCAGGGGAGGCTAGAGAGTATCACTGGTGTCGCACAGTCACTCCCCAAATGGCTATCTCTTCTATGGCAAACAGTACTATGATTACCTACACTTGCCATTCACCTACTGTACTAGCAAAAGCTAAGTGTTCAGTTGCGTGGTGGAAATGACACATTTAGGAATGGGATACACATCCTGGTATCTGGGGGTGATGAAAGTATTGAGTGTGCTTGAGGCAGACAAGACTACTTACTCACCTAAACAGTCCTACAGTCACTAATGACACTTTTCCATTAGTACCTACTCAGTCAGCCCTGTACCTGGCTCTGTGCGGTTTAGGTGGTTCTCCATTGTGAATTATGGCAGGAAGGCTCTTGACAAAATGTATACGTGAAACAAGTATGAGACTAGAATAAAATACATTGTAATTTATGAAATAATTTAATAACCTTAATTCTTTCCCTGTCATCACACTACATGATACTATTTTGTTAGAATATCAAACTTTAAAATAACAATGAAATTATATTAAAATTATATTTACATCCCGGAGCTTTGGGAATGCATGATTGATTTGCAACATGAACACAGAGTGGAGAGGATCTTCTCTCTGACTGTAGGAGGATCTGCACGTCTGATCACCTGTCAGTGCTTGAGAAGTGGGAGGAGCTCACAGCAGCACAAAGACAGTAACTGCAGAATGTTTGGTGCCTTTATGCATAATTCAAAGTCTCTAATAACACAAAAAAGGCTGCTACATTTTTCTCTTCTTATATTTTTTAATAAAGTCGCTGGTGGGGTGTGAAAATTTGCCAAGGTGGCAACAGTGCACAGGCCACTTCCTCCACTAAAAAACACTTCCTCTTCATAGATTTCTTCCTTACATCTCTCAGAAGTCTCTATAAGTAGCCCGCTTCTGTGCTACTACTGTTTCTTCTAATCCAAATGCACTGACTGCGTTTCCTCACATGCAACGAATCCTCTACATCCTACTTCCACTGGTAAAATCCTTCTGCCTAGACAACGAGACTATCTGGCCTTAGATTTGTTGAGGCCATTTCTGAACTGTATTGCCACTGTCTTTGTCATGGACCTTCCTACATTTTCTTGCATCGCTTGTCTTCAAAACTTGCAGCTAACCTTCTTAATACTTGGTTGTGTCACCACATATACTGGCCTTGTGACAGACTAACCTTATGACCTGAAAAAATATGCCTTTGAGCTGAAGTACCTGAATATAACAAGCATAGGGAGTTTATCATTCGCAAATTTTGAAAAAGAAATTCTGATATTTTTTCCTCTCTGCTGATACTATATATGTTATTTTATTATTTGAATGTCTTCTGTTTGAAATTAACAACCAAAATAATTACTGTGTTATCATTAGTGAACAAGTTTTTTTTCCTTCCAGGATCAATTTCAAATGTTGGGAGGAATCATACGAGACAAAGAGATGGTAACTGACATCAAGCCTGGCCCCATTGTCACAGTGTCAACTACTGCACATGTTTATCAAGCTAAAAGTGTGGTGATCACAGCTGGACCTTGGGCTAATAGACTGCTCATACAAACTGGCCTACAGCTGCCACTACAGGTATTCAAATTTTGTGTCCTATGTTCATGAATAAAATATGTCACATTTTAGGATGAGCCAGAGTGTCAGTGTTTATGCTGGGTTCATACAGGGTGCATTGTATTCTGGCTATTTTAGGTGCACATCCTAGCTACCCCTTTAGTCTTAAGGCATGTGCATGCAAAGTTTTAGCATGGAGCTTAGATTTTACTCATGAGATTTGGGTAAGGGAAGCAATTTTCTCAAACATCCATCTGCCCATCTATTTTCTATACCCACATGATCAAATTCAGTTTGGCGGGAACAATTAAGCCTAACCCAGCTCTCATTGGACAAGAAGCTGTATTGATAATAATAATAATGAAGTAATTTTCCATTCATCTTGGCATCTTGAATTTGATTACTGCTTGGTGATTTCATTAACTTATTTACTTTTAAATTACTTTAACCATGTCAAAACTGTATTTAGACTGATCACTAGTAGCATTTCTTCTTTTAAATACAAATGTGCAGGGATTGACTGTCACAATGTTTCAAAATCGCAGTTACTCAGTCTCTTGCTGTAAGAATAAACTTTAAAAAAATTTGCATTTAAAAAATGCTCAGAATGTTTTATTACTAATGGCATAGCAGTATAATAATGGAATACAGAATATGTGAGCATACTATATCATGTAGAAAATAGGAAAAGTGTTTATTCAAGATTAAATGTTGGTCATGAAGCATTTATTTCCAGCTTAATCTTGTTCTTTATTACCATTAGATGAGCAAATAACTTGATGTAAAGTTTGGCTTGTACATAATCTATATAAATTCCTAAGACTGATGGAAACAAAATGGTTCAAACTGAAGCATACTCACTAAAGAAAAATAAGACAAGGATGATCAAAAACAGTAAAATTAATTTTATTTCAGACAACGTTTGTCAGTTCAGTACTGCATTTCGTAGGGAGACACATGCATGGAATTAATTAAGTTTTACATTAGAATACTTGAAAAAATATAATTATTCCTTTGCATCAGTGTCACTTTACATTACAATTTAATATGGCTATGTTCAAGATGTATATAAGTTTTGCAAGTCTTGTTGACTGATTTGCAAAATGTCTTTAGTTAGTGCTTGTTTGTTTATTTTTTGTTGTTTCAGTCAATTCACTTAAATAATTTCAGTCAGCAGTGGTTAGCACCATCACTGTGTCGCTGTTCTCCCTGTGTCTGCGTGGGTTCCCTCCGGGTACCAAAAAAGAGTAAATTATATATACCAAGAGTATAATATATATATTAGTGTATGTGTGGTATAGTATCTCAACTTGGTCCTCTGTGAGAAGTTTGTACTCATGAATTTATTTGGTTTTCCACTGCAGGTGATCAAAATCAATGTGTGCTACTGGAAGGTGAAAGTCCCTGGATCATATGACTTGAAGAACCACTTTCCTTGCTTCTTACTAACTGAAAGTGAAGAATCCAAAGAGCACATCTATGGCCTCCCATCCAATGAGTACCCAGAAATGATGAAGGTATGAGAGTATGAGACCCCCAGTATGATTAAAAAAGAGAACACAGCTTTTATGAACCACAGGCACACATTGAAAAGCTTTTTGTTTAACCCCACAAACCCTGACCCGAGAGAAAGAAACTTTTCAACCAAAGTCTCTGTGTGACTATTTAACCAAATTTAAAAACACAAACATCATTTACATGTGTTGTTTTTATTAATTTTAATCAGTATTTTTACGATAAACAAAAATGCCAAAAAAAAGTTCTTTATAGCAGGGTTTTTTTTTAGGTTTGACTGCATTGTGTAAAAAATCTATGTAATAAATATTTTAAATACAGCTTTCTTCTGAATAAGCTTTATTTTTTAATGTGCCCATAAATTTAAAGTTTTATATATTGTAAATTGAAGTGATTTTTTTTTCTTCCCTGAAAAAACAGCACTTAAAAATTGTACTGATCCAGAACAGCGTTTTGTTCACAATACTATTAATAATACTATTACTATTATTGATATTAATTATTGTTATATTATTGATATTGATGTCATATTAATAATAGCATTGTTAACAATGTGTTGGATTTAGCGCAGGAATTTTAAGGGACTATTATTGGGACCACTTGCAAATAAAAACTACTGAGAGGTTAATTGGATAATCATGTTACGGTGCAGCTTTCTTGCACAAACATCTGTATTGTACATGAGCAATAACATGATAAATCATATTCTGGAACAGCACTCCCCAGTTAGGGTATATCTTGGCAGGTGGCATTTGTGGCAATCAAAGGTAGTCCACAAATTACCCAATCACAAATTGCTTTTATACAGACCTTATTAAGTAGGTTTTCTTATAATTATGTGTTTTCTTATTGTTTGTTTGGATTTTTTCTTCTTTTGAAGCCAACATTTTTGCCAGAGAAAAACCATCACTGTTGTTAACAATATCATTTGATATCATAGATAAGTAGTATTTTCAAAGATAGAACCACTATATACGTGGTATCCAACCCCCGGGCTGTGGACCGGTCTGGGTCCAGGTAGATGATTCTCACATACCAAGCTTTCTCTGCATAGTATGCAGCGACCAGTTGCTAATGAGGCAGTGAAGCCTTCAAAACTGCTCTGCCACTTGGACACCAAGCCCTTGATTAAATGACAATCCCCTGGAGTATTTTGAAAGAAAAAAACAGGAACACGATGGACAGAAGAAATAACTGAGGGCTACCACATCAGTAAATGTGAATGCACATACAGCATCGTACTTCGTGGCTAACCGTATTGCTAAAGCTGAAAAGCCATTCACTATTGGTGAAGAATTGATCTTGCACTCAGCTGAAGACATTTTCCGTGAACTTCAAGGAGAGGCTGTTAAAAAGGTCACTGAGGTACCTCTTTCAGCTAGCACTGTGACTCGGGGCATTGAAGAAATAGCCGAAGACATTGAGAATTGTTGGAGAGGATTAATACATCACCCTGATATGTCCTCTAGGTTGACAAATATACAGATGTTGACAACAAGGCAATACTACTTGTGTATGTGCAATATCTTTATCTGGAGAATATGCATGAGGATATATCATGCACACTATGGTTGCCAACCAACACCACCGCAGCAGAGCTTTTCAAGTTGCTGGATGGTTATGTATGAGGTAAACTGCTATGGTCCTCATGTGTTGTTATATGCGCTGACGAACCTGCTGCCATGACCGGACAGCCGTCTGGTTTAACTGCTCAGATTAAGGACGTTGCACCTGAGTGGGAATCTACACCTTGTATCATTCACAGGAAAATGCTGGCATTCCGAAAAATGCCACCAAAATTGAACAGCGTGTTAAATGATACTGTTAAAGTTATTAACCATGTCAAAGCACAAGCTCTTAACTCACGCCTGTTTGAGCAACTTTGTGAGGAGATGGACACAGAGAATAGATGGTGTCTCTTAAACACAGAAATAAGATGGTTATCCCGAGGGAAATCGCTGGCCATTGAGTTACGAGAGCTGCTTTAAAGATTTCTAACATAAAATAAGTCACCGCTGGCAGCACGTTTCAGTGAAGAGGAATGGATCGCAAAACTGGCTTACCTGTGCGACATATTCAACCTGCTCAATGAACTCAATCTGTCACTTTAGGAAAAATGGCAACTGCCTTCAAGTTGGCAGACAAAGTAGCTGCATTTAAAGCCAAATTAGATTTGTGGGGATGGCGCATTAACAGGGGCATATTGGACGTTTTGAACATTAGTGAGGATTTTGGGCAAGACTGAGCATGAGCCTTCATTCTCCCAGATGATGCACCATCACCTGTCTTTACTTTTTAAGGAGTTCCAGCACTACTTCCCATCCACAAAAGACCTACAAACTGGCAAAGAATGGATCAGCAACCCATTTGTCAAACCAGGTTAATCTAGCATGTCTGTGCAAGGAGAAGATCAGCTGCTGGAAATCGCAATGACGGCTGCCTTAAAAGTATGTTTGAGATAAATACTCTGCAGGTGTTCTGGATTAAAGGCATGGCAGAATGCCCTAATATCGTCACTGCATCAAAACCCTGTTGTCATTACCGACATTCTATCTATGTGAAGCAGGGTTTTCTGCCGCAACAAAAACAAAACGCTGATCCTAGGAGAATACATTTGAACACATAAAGGATAGTGGTCATACTCTGTAGTTCCCGGGTGCTGCTGATTGTTTCAGGCTGGGTGGGCTCAGGGTGGAAGCCTGCACAGCATCACACCTGCAGCCAACTGACAAACAGGCACCCTTGATATGCCTGCACTCTCCAGGTTTCCGAGGCCAGATGATTGCCTGTAGGATATTCAATATGACACCTGTCTTCCAACCTGTGTGGTTTTTCCTGTCTGTTCAGCACTCTTTTTGGATCTACCTTCTGCCCACCACTAAGCCCTGCTTCCCAAGGACACCTCCTCCCCCTTTTTGACTTTTGACACCTCCACCTGGACCCTGTATAGCTTTCCTGGCTCCCTGATACCTCCACTCTCCCTCCAAACCAATAAATATCCTGTTATTCCTTTACCCAGTGGTTCTGCGTTTGCTTTTGGGTCCTGTCCACACTTCTCCCTCAACAAGTGCTTGTTGTGCACATGCCTGATTTATAAAAATCAGGCAAACAATAATCATAGTAATTAAGATCAATACCAAGCAAAGGATATGACTTGTTTAAGTTATTACAAATATTTGTTGGTTTTGCACAAGATAATAAAAAACAAAAATCTCTCTCTCTCTCTCTCTCTCTCTCTCTCTCTCTCTCTCTATATATATATATATATATATATATATATATACAGTGGGTACGGAAAGTATTTAGACCCCTTTGAATTTTTCACTATTTGTTTCAATGCAGCCATTTGCAAAAATGAAATAGTTCATTTTATTTTTAATCAATGTAAACTCAGCACCCCATCTTGAAAAAAAAAACATAAATGTTGCAATTTTTGCCCTCATATCTTTTTTTATTTAATTTTTTTACCCTTTGTCGTGTTTAGCATTATGGCAACAGAAGTGTAATCTGAGTGCCATGCTGTGCCCAACACTTTTGCTTTGCCAAGGAAGGCCTGTCAGGGTGAGAAGCCTCCCTTGATTATCCAATACTTCTTTATTATTTATTTAAGATTTATTTTTGTTACTTAAGTAATATGGTTAATGCCAAACATGACTGGGTGACAGGAAAGGAGAAACAAAAGAGATCCCTAAAACAGGAAGAGAGGAGAGAAAAAAGAAAGAAAGACAACAAAACCATCCATAAAGCTGCTGTATCTGTAGAGAGATGTCCTGTAGTCACCGTGGGCAGCTAAAATAACAAAGGAGTGGCTTGGGAATAACTCTGTGACCATTCTTTACTGGCCAAGCCAGAGCCCTGACCTAAACCCAATTCAGCATCTCTGGAGATACCTGAAAATGGCTGTCCAACAACGCTCACCATCCAACCTGACAGAACTGGAGAGGATCTGCAAGGAAGAATGGCAGAGAATCCCCTAATCCAGGTGTGAAAAACTTGTTGCATCATTCTCATGAAGACTCGTGGCTGTACTAGCTGAAAAGGGTGCTTCTACTCGATACCAAAGGGTCTGGATACTTATGATGATGTGATATTTCAGTTTTTCTTTTTGAATAAATTTGCAAAAATGTCTACATTTGTTTTGTTTTTCTGTCAAGAAAATGTCAAAGTGTACATTAATGAGAAATAAAATCATCTTTGTTTCATTGCAGCCATTTGCCAAAATCAATAAAGAGTGAAACATTTAAGGGGGTCTGAATACTTTCCGTACCCACTGTGTGTGTATATACATATTATTTTTCTTATGTTAAATCCATTTAAAAAAATGATACAGTTGCAATTTAATGTCCTTTTGGGGATAAATAAAGCATTGAACAGAATTTGAAAAGAAATTAAGAAGTTACACCTGAAATCCTGTAAAACAGTTGCTTGTATATATTATAAAGCAAAGTCCTGCAATGCTGCAATTAGGTAAAAAGAATTGTGAAATATTGATAGTGTCTTCTCTTTTCAGATATGCTATCACATGGGGAGCGAAACTGATCCAGATAATAGAGACCAACAGAAAGACAGGTCAGATATTGATATTCTCCAGCGTTACATCGCCCGATGTCTCCCAGGACTGCATCCGGAACCTGCTGTGGTGGAGACTTGTATGTACACGGTATGTGCATTTTCTAAATCTAAAAACTTTTTTGTTTTTATAATGGGGAGCTGTGATGTGCCAGGACTGCTATATGACACCAACTGGGTAAGGCAAACAAAAATCAGTGTTAGCCTGATTCTTTTTTTTTGGAAGAATAATAAATAGAATTTTTTTAGCGCATAAATGTGTCACTTACAGGTGACAAGTAAATAAGGCAGCGCTGGCCTTAGTGTGATAGAGATTGCGCAGGACTTCAGACATGAAGAGCGCTTATTTTCTTATGTAAGGCATAGATATCTTCCTGGGCTTGTGGCATCCCTGCACAATAGGCTGGATTTTTGCAACCAGTTACCCCTTACATGAACACAACAGTCTCCTGTTAAAGAGATCACAAAAGAATGTACTACTAAAAGTGAATAGTATTGTGGAGTATTGTGGACATGTGGACCCAATGCAACACACCTAGCCTACACATCTATGACAGACTCTGGTACCTTTGGGAAGACTTATCAGAGAGAAGTAGAGAGAGCTCAGGGAAAATTACAAATCTAAATTAAAAAGAAAAAAAAGTCCATTTTAATAATGGTGTATCCCGCCTCTTGCCCAATATCCGCTGGGATAGGCTCCAGCCCCCTGTTACCCTACTAGTTGTGGGAAGTCAAAGCCACAATTGTGCCAATGGTTATTTGAGCATTTGGGGATATGACACTCAAACTGGGAGAAAAGCTCCAAGACTACAGGAGTACAGGAGCAGTATCAGATTTTACTGTCCAGAAGAAAACAGTTGTAGGAAAAGCTAAGAAACTGCACTAAACCCTCGGGAACAGTGGGAATTCAATAAAGGATCCCTGTCAGTCATACAAGTACATTGTCTGGATACACTAAGACCCAAGAAACTGTAGTTATCAATATAATGTCAAGAGAAATTTTTTAAAATTTGTTTGAAAAAATCAAGTTTTAGATTTTTTTTTTCTCGGTACGTTACAGAATCACAATGTTGTCATGTTAAATTGGCACTTATAATCAGGTAAAAAAAGACAGCTGAATGACAAAAAGATGGAACCAACAAACATCATGTGTGACCATCAAATCCAGGGGAAAAAAATAGAGTGGGAACATTCAAGTATCACTCCGCTGACTGGCTATTAAGGTAATATATTAGAAAATTAATTTTTAATCAACTCTTCACTGTACATGCACAAGACTGCAGGGACTGCACAAGGGCATAGGAAAAAATAAGAAATAAGTAGATTAGCTAGTATTACAAAGTAGATTAGGACAATTGGAGTAAATTATCCATGGAACTAAATACAAAGTACTAAAGGCGTACTAAAAGCTTGTTATAACTTGGCTCGTGCTTTATGTACAATCATAATTTGGAAGGAGCTGTTTAATATCACTACTAATAGGCTAATACACATTTTGTTGCCACCACATTAATAGAAAGAGGGTCTGCTTTTTTTTATTTCTGGCTAGCCTATTTCCGTAGCCCTAATTTTTACTATATTTTCCGTAATGATTACAATTGATAATGACTAATAATATGATAAGATAGCCTTTCAAACTTATTGCTACATAAAATGTTTCAGAAAGTTTTTCTGCTACAATTGAAGAAATATACACAAATTAGAATACCTGTATCATGTAAATGGTGGAAGATAAGTATGAAATTAAATTTGAACTGAATGGCTGTCGTTAGAAACCGTCACGTCTGAGAATGTAAACTTTTCTGTACTTTGGAAATTATAAGATTTTAACACTGATTACCATTAACTTATGTCTTAATGTTGCACTTTGATTACTTTTCATTATTTGTTGTTCCTGCAGCTGACACCTGACCGGCATTTTGTTCTTGACTGCCACCCTGCCTACCGCAACATTGTCATTGGGGCAGGATTCTCAGGTAAATCATAATTATCACTATTTGACAAAGCAATGTAAAATGACAGAAACATTCATTTATAAATACATTTTCAATTTCTTAGTATTTATTAACATACTTCAGCTGTACTTCACTGCTGTCAGTACAACAAATTATTTCCTGTACTAATTTCAGTTTCAAGACCAGGGTTATTGTTCTTAGGGCTTTTGATGCTCGGTACCAATATTTACACTTTAACAAGCAATATCATATAAAATTCTCAATGAGATGGTAGAAGTGTATTTTGAAAAGCCATACCACATTGAGATGGCCCAGTTCTATCATATATGGTATTTAATTTGGATATTGATCTAATTGTGTATGTTCATGTATAGTGCTGGTGGTGCCTGGGTGGACCACCAACCCTGCTTATAGTGTGGGTGGTGCACCACTCGATCGCCATTTACCAGTCGATCTACGTTCCCACCCTCATCTATGTCATAACTTTGAATGAGATAATGGATACAAGCGGCCCTTAGAGATGGGGTGAGAAGCTCTGCCAACGGCAGGGGCTCAGAGTAGAGCCACTGCCCCCCACATCGAAAGAAGCCAGTTGAAGTGACTCGGGTGTCTGTTTAGAGTCCCCCTACCGGGAGGAGACCCAGGGGAAGGCCCAGGACACACTGGAGAGACTAGGTTTCTCGGCTGGCTTGGGAGAGGCGAGCTGCCCCCACAACCCAGCAGAAAATTATGGATGGATAGATGGATCATAAAGACATTTAGTTTCCCTTCAAAAGGGCTTCTACAAATCTAAACAAATTCGGTGTATACAGTACGCAAAATGTTACCGTCAATTGTCACTAAACTGTCACTACCATTCCTCTATCCATTGTCTATACTGCTTACTGCAAAAAAAGGGTCGTGGGGAAACTGCAGCCTGTACCAGCTGACATTTGGCTGATTACACACTGCCAGTCCATCCCAGGGTCACACAGAGATGAACAACCGCCATTCACATTCACTGTGAGGGACAATTTAGAGTCACCAATTAATCTAATATAAATGTTTTGGACAGCTGGATAAAGAAAAGTTATAGAGATGCCACTTTGTAAAAAACTAATTTACCAATAAAACTTTCAAGCAATCTTTATTCATCTATTTTCTTTACCACTGCTTCCCAACGGGGAACCCGGGACAGGTCATCAGCCTTTTGCAGGAGGAGATCTCTATTGCTTGAAAAATGTACTGTAAAGTTTTTATTCTCAATTTTTAATGTCTTCTACTGAGGCAACATGTAATCTCCTTGGTGGATGAAATGTTTTGATGTATCCAAACCTGCCTAATTATAATTTTTTTCCCCCCATAGGTCATGGTTTCAAGTTCGGGCCAATCATTGGCAAACTTCTTTGTGAACTCAGCCTGGGAAAAGTGCCCTCTTATGACCTTTCCCCTTTCCAAATTAAGCGCTTCCAGGCAAACATCAAGTCATCTTTATAGGGCAACCCCTATAAAGTGTTATTTTAGTTTTGAATCCTCATGATTAGCATCAGCAGTAATCAAACTACCTGTATGATTTCTCAGATTGTCTGGGTTTCTAATTGCAGATGTGGAGAGCATGTATCTTGAGTGCAAGTATAATGGAGAGTTGATTTATTGAACAGCTGTTAATCACATTCAAGATCTCTTAATAAAAAGTTAATTTCATTGTCTTGTGACTTTTTCATAAGAGTTATCTAATGTTACTGTATCAATACTGAAAATACAGGACAAACACAAATCAAGTTAGAAAAATCAGTAAAAATTATTCACCTGCCACTTCATTAGGTACACCTTGCTAGTACCGGGTTGGACCCCCTTTTGCTTTCAAAACTGCCGTAATTCTTTGCGACAGAGATTCAACAAGGTACTGGAAAAATTCCTCAGAGAGTTTTATTCCATATTGACATGATAGCATTACTCAGTTGCTGCACATTTGTCGGCTACATAACCATTATGCAAATCTCCCATTCCACTATAACCCCAAAGGATTGGATTGAGATCTGGTGACTGTAGAGGCTATTTTAGTACAGTGAACTCATTGTCTCGTTCAAGAAACAAGTCTGAGATGATTCGTACTTCATGACATGGCACGTTATCCTGCTGTTAGTAACCATCAAAAAATGGTTATACTGTGGTTATGAAGGGATGGACATGGTCAGCAACAATACTCAGGTAGGCTGTGGCATTGAAACAATGCTCAATTGGTACTTATGGGCCCAAATGGGCCAGGAAAATATGCCCCACACCATTACACCACCGTTGACGCCAAATTCTGACCCTGCCATCCAAATGTCACAGCAGAAATCGAGACTCATCAGACCAGGCAACATTTTTTCAATCTTCTGCTGTTCAAATTTGGTGAGCCTGTGCGAATTGTAGGCTGTTTCCTGTTTTTAGCTGACAGGAGTGGCACCCGGTGTGGTTTTCTGCTGCTGTAGCCCATCTGGTTCAAAGTGCGATGTGTTGTGTGTTCAGAAATGCTCTTCTGCACACGTCGAGTGGTTATTTGAGGTACCGTTGCCTCTCTATCAGCTCGAACCAGTCTGGCCAATGTCATCTGTCCTCTGGCATCAACAAGGCATTTGCGCCCAATGATCTTCCGCTCACTGGATATTTTCCAGTGGAATTATGACGTCCAACAGCACCCCATGTTGGTCAGAAAAGCAGTGGTAAAGAACCTGGTTGTTTTCAACAGCTACATCCCCATCATGGGTGTGTACATGCTTATTTGTGGGTCCATTTATATTCTGTGTGAAGGCAAGGCAGTCCAGGAGGTTTAGGATAATATCTGAACAGCAGTTTTTAGTTTGGGGTGAACTTTACATGAAAACTTACTCCTGCTCTGTCTGTGACCCTGTGGTAGTCTTTCTGCTGATAATGTTGTCTGCTCTGAGATAGATAGATAGATAGATAGATAGATAGATAGATAGATAGATAGATAGATAGATAGATAGATAGATAGATAGATAGATAGATAGATAGATAGATAGATAGATA